CTGATGTTTTATTCCTGGAGGCATTCCTGTTGGACTCAGCTCAGTGATTTTCTCGGTTGTATATCTTAAGAACTAGCTATTACATAATAATATGTGCTCACTGTTGTAGGTATTCATTTGCGCGCCTCCATTTGCCTGTACTGTATAAGTTTATGTACTCACATTGGTAACAACAATGAAATATTCAGTTCTTCAGAGCCATGTCTGGAAGTTGGACAACTCACTGTTTTGAAAATGTAATTCCAAAAACAAATCATTTTAAGCAGCACACAAAAAGTACAAAGTACAAGCATGTAGGGTTAAGTAACGTCGTAATATTCTTTAGCTGAGTTGTTGGTAGCCATGAGACTTTCTGGAGAAGAAATGCATACCCTGTAGAATAACAGTCTGCACTCTTCGCCTATTAAAGCAAAATTCCATCTTCACCATGAAGGCAATCTTGTAGATAACCCACGTAAACACCAAGACATGAGATAGAGTTGGAATAACAATTAAAGTATATTCCAGGGTTTCAGTTTGAAATGTTTCGTCCTCATTACTCCACAGGTGATAAACTATTGCCAGCAATCCAAACATGAGGCAGTGATAGGTGACAGAAAGGTTTGTGAGCATTGACTTACAGGGTCTCAGATATGAGACCAAGAAAGCCGTAATCACCATAAACAGTACCGTGGATGTACACTGATCATAGCCACAAGCCACCACAGCACGTGTAAAACACCAATACAGGAAAAGAATTAGAGGACCCATTCCAGCCAGTGCTCTGTAGTCTCGAGTTCCATTCAGACCGTCTTTGAAGCAGCTGTGAATAGCTTCAGCAAAGGTTGTGATTGCTAGTCTCTTTCTGGGGCTGAGGCACTGAGAGACATGCCTGTAAATCCTTGTTGGGTATAATAAGAGTATAATAGATGGAATGATGGTTACAAAAATAAGGGGTAGTGCTCCAATAGTCATGTAAACTGCATGTGCCGTACTCCGCCACCTTATTGTTGGATCACTAGAAAGAGTCTGTTTGTAAATCACTCCGTTATAATGTGCTACAGTAGTGCAAAGGAAGATATCAGTAAATGTTGCAAAAACTGTGGTATATGCAAAAAATATGAAGGATGCAAATGCATGAACAACTGCATCACTAGTGAGTGCTGAAATATTTGTCCTAATGAACCTAAATGGCTTTAACAGGGTGCGAATGAACTTGTAGTTCTTGGCATGTAGCTCCATTAGAATGAAAGTTAAAATGACGAGAATAAACGGGTATGTGACAAATACTAAAGCAAGCATCTTTACATGAATATCTCTTAGTTTTTCGCTAATACAAAACGGTGGAATCACAGATTTTAAAATCCAATGCATAGTCCATAACCGGCATAGTATTAGTGAAATCGATAAAAGTGTTTGAAAAGGTTGAGATACATGAGACATGGTGTAAGCAATTAAAACTGTATCTTCAGCTATGTAAGCTATGACCTGGCAAAATACGATGTACCCTATCAAGGGGCCAGATGTTATGTCAAAACGAAGAAAAAGCATGCCAATGAAAATCAGTGTGATCGGAAAAAGCTCAATTACCATGCATGACATGACAGCATATCGTGTAGAAAGCTGCGAGCAATTAGCACATTTAAAATCGATTGAATAAACTGCAGGACCAAATCCATCAAAACACTCTCCACAGAGCAAACCTTTCCTGTTGTAAGGACCACACATTACATCATCCAACGTGTCAGGATCACCAGGCATCTCAGAGAACAGTCTGTTGGTGTTGTTGACTGTGTGCAAGAAGGGACACCTTCCAATGTAGTAGTGATTTTCATATCCAGCTGATGTTGCACAGTATCCTTGTGCAATTTCGACCTTATCTCGGTTGCTGCAGATAAGACCATGTCCACACTGACACTGATGTGAAGTATTGTCGTAGTAGTGCCACGGGAGACAAGAGGCAGTCACTGAACTACAAAGAGTACTCAAGATGAGCAAAGTGCACCGAAGTTTACATCGACAAAACATCGTCCTTTGCGTTGAAAATGGCTCTCAGTGACTTATACACACATGTTTTTACTACAAGTTCTGAGCAAACTAATAGGCTAAAAAGTCATTATGTTTTCAAAACATTCTACACTTTCATCATGACCACCGCCTTTTAGGGAACGGATAATTTTGTTTGATGTGTGTGTGTGGTAGTAAGCGAATTCATGCAAAAAAAACACCAATCACTAGTTCTGGAGATACAAGGCAAAGATTGTTCCTTGCACATTGTTCCTTGCAGATTATTCCTTGCACATTGTTCCTTGCACATTAAACTTTGCATTCCTTATGGGGTTTCTAAAGTTGCAGTAACTGGACTATGTCTATCCGTAGAGTTGATTTTTTAACATCAGTAGATTTTGGCAAGGTAGGGGGAAGAAAAGCACAATTAGCTTATTAAGTAAACACTCATGTTTGGTCACAAGACAAAATCAACAGAAAAAGTGATGACTATAGAGTCACAGCGGGAGACTAAACTGCTGCAGTGGTGGGATTAGCCATCTATCTCACGCAGACTATTTTTAATTCACTGTTATTTATGCATGAAATTAAACTTCCTCTGTTAATTTCGTTTACTCTTCTCATTTGTTTGAAAGATCAGTATGTTTCAGGTAAGCCATTATAGTGTGTAACGAATACTATGCAGCTGACACGGTAAGGTGAGTGTACTGATGGAGATATGAAACTGGAGGATGCCGAGAGTGATTATGTTGGGAGAGTGGAAATCTGTTTTAAAGGAGTCTGGGGCTCGATATGTGATGAGATAGCAAATAAAGAGGTCGCTCTGGTGGTCTGCAAAACATTGCGAAAACCACTGTATGGTGAGCAAAGTATGAGATCAATATGTGCACCCTCTGCCAAGTACTTATGATGATTATCACAGTGTCAGTAGAGCTCTAGTAAAGTAGTGAACCATGAGCCGGCACAGTTGAAATCTCATGTTATCAGCGTATTAAGATCCTCCAGTATCGGGGTTAACGCACCTAGCCGATCTTCATTCAGAAGACACCAGGATAACTCGGGTAGCAGTGTTGGTTCATAGGTGGAATCCTGTTCTTCATGCGAGAATTCGTTGATTTTGTGTCAGGCACCTGGACTAGCGGTTTTCATGAGTTCTCCTGGTAGGCTACCCCAACATCCCCACGTTCTGGTGCGCGCATTATGCGCTCGCCATAGAGCTGTGAGCTGCCGCCTATATATAGTGTCGATATTTGGCTATATAGCAAAATCAAAGGACCTTGTTAACGGCGCTGGCGGCAGCTCTCGAGCGCATACTGTGCGCACCAGGACGTGGGGATGCTGGGGTAGCCTCGTTCCCAGGCCCTTTTCGTTTGGAACACCGCAAAATAACGGACGGCTAATGCTGGGGGGCTACAACTCTCCGGGGTAACTACACGTAAGGTGGGGATGTCCACTGTATAACGACGGAAAGGTTGGGATTTATAAAACTCCAAGGATGAAGCGATGCGTAAGGGTGGGGATTTAAGCGGTGCGCATGCGTATAGACACGATCAAAGCTGGCTCCTGATCCGCTTGCTCTGTGTATATGCACAAGAAGCCACAGCGAAGGGCGTGTATCGACTGCCGCATGCTATCTACTACCGTAGCTAGCCCGTGTCAGATTCTCCGCGAGCTACTAGCGCGGAGCACGAGTAACCATCAATTAGCGGAGACCGCGGGTAGTCGCCAATAGCCCAGCCCATCCATTAGCGATACCGCTCATGCGCAGTTCGCCGAGTTTCACCCTCGGCGCGCATGCGCAGCGAGGGTTACGGTAGTCGTCTGTGTGTCTGTTGTCGTCACGTTTTCTGCCACTACGCGCAACAAGACGACCAAAAAGCGACAGCAACTGGGTTCGGCGCTACATGGCTCTATTAAAACGATTCGTAAAAGACACAGCGTTTCAAAAGTTATGGCAAGTGAACAAGCCAATATGCAGGGCTTACCTCGACAAGATGTGCTTGATCTGCGTACGTTGGAGGCGCAAGACGTCACAAGGAAGGGCGTGTATCGACTACCGCATGTTATCTACTACTGTAGCTAGCCCGTGTCAGACTCTCCGTGTGCTACTAGCGGGAGACCACGAGTAAACGGCCCAGCCCCCATCAATTAGCGGTATCGCGCAAGCGCAGTTCGCAGAGGGTTTGCACTTCAGTGCTTTTTAATGAACTAATTTTACTTGTATTTGGAAGTTTGGTTAGGTATAGCTAACGTTGGGAAGGGCAGGTAATGTTGAAAATGTTCCCATAATTGTCAGGTTGAAGGAGCTTATCTTGATTGCACGTGATGCTGTATACTTTCAGAGCTCACATTCAAAGGCACAACACCCTGGATTGTAAAGAGCTCTGATTGCTCAATTATTGATTTTGTGTCCCTGATGTGAGGTGTGGTCGCTCGAACAACTCTCAGGAGTGTCTTGAGGGACATGTGGCCAGAGACCCTTGTATATGGCTGCTTTTGGCTGGCTCTTTAGGGGCATTACTGGGGCTAAACACAGGGGCAACGTGAACAGTCGTTGGGATGTTAAATCTGGTACCGCTGCAATATTTGAGTACAGCAACTTTGGTCTGTTTAACGAAAATGAACATTGTACACATCATCAGTGGGAATGGAGTGGGAGCTGTTTTACCTTTATCTGGAGTGGGAGCGACGTGGAGTATTGCACAATAATATCCCTCACTCTCAGGGATATCGGACTCTCCTTTTTCTCGGTGAGAATACTCTTACTTTGTTTTCTCTGGTATTGCGAGGGAGGGTTTGAGTGGTAGAAAGAGGAAGGTTCGAAATAAGGAGAAGGCTCCATGTCTGAAGAATACCCAGAGGCAAAAGGAGGAGGATTTTGGGAGGACAAGCTTAACTTTCGAGGCAGTGTGTGCTACGTCAACACCACTAGCTAACCAGATAACAGCTGTGATAACTGAGCTTACTATGGGGATATCCCTTGGAAAGTCCCTCTCTTGAGACCACACGGAACTGTTTGGCCCCTTGTGTAGGCACCTCTACTCCTGCTCGTTTGCTGCTGCTTTGTACAACTCCTTGTAAGTTAAAGGTCTCTCAGTTGTAGCATACTAGAATAAGCAAGTTAGATCATCTCAAGAGGCATGCCGCGCGCGCAATTCGCTGCAGGGTTGTCCAGCGGGTTGTCCAGCGGGCGGGTTGCCGTGCACGTTGCTAATTTACTTAATTATGCTTACTACTCTCTAGGACACAATGTCAGAAAGTGAGTTAGGTGCGGTGTTAATGCTGTTTAATAAGCAAATCCATGGAGAAGGTTTGGAAAGACTCAGGTTCATCCTGTATCCACTTTTGCCATGGGCAGAGCTAAAAATGCTCAGTACACCATCAGATATGTACATGAAGCTTGTGTCACTCGATATGTTCTCCGCGCATGGAAGGGCTCTGAATATATTCCTGTTTGCTTTGAAAGCCATTGGTGGAAGTGTGAGGGGAAAATATTGTGCCAAGGAAGCAAGAAGATTGCTAAATTATCAGTCTGCCATTGATTTTAGTGGGGAATCAAGAAAATTCCGATTTTTCTATTGGCTCCTGAAGATTGTGCGGCGTCTTCCACCCGCATGCAAGGAGGATATCTTGCTACATTTTGGGCGATCGTTAAATACTAACTATCGTAATTATGAGGGGTCTCTGCCCAGTCTTTTCATTGAGCTACACCAAGCTGGAAAAGTGAGCGAAGATGACACAAGTGAACTGGGAGATACGTTAAAAATCTGCAAAAATCGTTTTGATGAAGGCACACCTGAGTTCACTGCGGTGCAAAAGTGCATCTCGTATCTCACCAAGTTTAGTGAAGAAGAAGAACCATTTACTTCAGGTAATAACCCTAACGGCTGTCAGCTCCATTATGATTTTGTTTAATTTCAACAGCTGATGAGGAATCTACAGCTGCATCAATGCATGAATCACATCATGAAGGTGCTAGCATTATTTCCCCCACATTCATTAATTATTTCTTCCCATAGATAAGCCAAGTGATGTTATTGGACGAAAACATCCCAAAAAACAGAGGAAGAAAGTCAGAGGACGTTATCCCAGTGGTAGCTCCGTTCCTTACGGTTCCCTTGTTGCATGTGCTCCAGATAATAATATAGACACTCCAGATGGTGACGATATAGATGATCCAGGTGCGTGCACTAGTTGTTTTTGACTTTGTAAGATTGATCATCTTCAATAATAATATAGCTCCTAAGGAGATGGAGACATCTACAGATAGTGTTCACTACAGGATGAGAGAAGGTGCAGTAATACCTGCTGCTCTTATCTATTGTGTATTAATGAAAAGCACTAAAGTGCAAACCCTCGGCAAACTGCGACTGCTAATTGATGAGCAGAGCTATTAGTATGCATTTACTCGTGGCCTCCCGCTAAAAGCACGCAGAGAGTCTGCTACACCTAACATGCGTGAGTCATTCGTTGTGACTTCTTGTGCATTCAAGATACACAGAGCATAATAATATTGTTAGCACATTGGCTTGTTCACTTTGTTTTCACGCCATAAATTTAGAACGAAGTATTTAAGAAAATCGCCTTTTAAAAAAAATCAATCCAGTGTAGCACTGAACCCATTCATATCGCTATTTGGCTGATTTAATGTGCGTGATGGCAGAAAACTTGGTAATAGACAGACACAGACTGACAGACACACTCACGAGACAACTACCATAACCCTCGTTGCACATGCGCGCCGTATATAACATTCTAGATGGCAGCGAAGTAGTGGAACTACCGACAAGTTGCAGTGCCCCGCCAGTTGCAGCAGGAGGAGCTGGAGGAGCTGCAGGAGCAAGTGTTGGCCCTGTCAGGACTTTGGGAGGTGAACCTGTAAATCCTCATTGCATGCATTGACATAGTTTACTATGATACAGGCAAACTGACAGAGAGTTTATATTTTGTGCCTAAGACTCCCAGTGGAGCAGTTCCAGGGATCCCAACAGCTACTTCAATCAATATTGATGAACCTGGGCCACCGTCACAAGGTTAGGCATTCTTCATCCTATTGTGCTATGGCATGCAGAGACTGTGAAGTGTCTCTTGTTCATGTGAGCAATGATAGCATGGAAATAGTCTTGTGCAGTCTAAAAGCAGGAATGGAGAATACTGCGTAATTGTAATGGAGAAGAAAAGGCGAAGGGAAGACGAGAGATCAAATAATTGCTCTGACTTGGCATCACTTGGTCTTAGCATTCCACGTCACCATGGACCTCTTTAGTAGCACCAATGAACTCTCCACCTGCTTAAAGTAAAGCTACCCTAAGAAGAATTAAAAAGTTCGTGTCGAAGGAGCCCGCAGAGTGTGGGGCACAATGAAGGTAACCACCTCTTCCTCTCTGTATCCAGATTTTGCAATAGTACCAACCTACAAATCAAACGTAAAACTGTGTGTGACCATGGTGGGCGTGTAAACCAATGGTGGCCATTCATGCACCAGAGAATGTGTTGCTTGACTTGGAAGCTGCATGGGAGCAGCTTCAGCTTCAAATGGAGAAGCTGAGCCTTGTTTCAAACTCAGCATGCTCCTAGCACTGCTTCAAGTCCACCTGCCAGTTCTCAGTCTCACAATCGTACCTCATGCTCTGCAAGTGCTTCTTCTGAAGAGTCTTCAGCTACTCATGTGTCGAATCCTCAGGTCAGTGACAACCAGGCTGCAGTATATGCACTCCACCTGCAGTGTGTCCTTTTTTTGGGCAAATGAGGCCGTCGGGCCTCGGCGTATCATATGTAAACGTTATGTGTGACAGCACGAGAGAACAGAAACATATTGTACACTATAAAGCACGTAGTCTTTTGCCCAAAGTTTATGAACGAGCTGTCTGTGTAGCAACAAAGCCAGATATCATCTGTATTGTTGAAACATGGCTGGATGACAGTATATCGGACAATGACCTATCCTTATCAAACTATCAGCTATTCAGACTGGACAGGAATAGACATGGGGGTGGTATTGCTCCATTGTTAACCCTCGGCGCGCATGCGCAGCGAGGGTTACGGATCTGTGTGTCTGTTACTCTTCATCTCTCTTCTCGAGTGTTCGTTCGTCTCACAAAGTATACCACCTACTGAACGGGCAATGAAGGTCAGAAATTTCGGACAGTTTTCTCTGAAAACGCTCCGTTGCAAAGCTAGAGCGCGAATAAAGCCAATATGCAAATACACAACGGGCGTATACGGCATGATCGATCGCGTGCTCGCGTACCTCGGAGGCACCAGAAGACTGCAGCGCAGTGGCGTGTGGATCGCCTCTCGCATGCTATCTACTAGTAGTGTAGTGTCAGCCACAGTCAGACTCTGCGACGAGCTGGCAACGAGACAGCTAAAACTAAGCCCAGCCACAGTCAATTAGTTATGATACGACGCAGCATGCGAGTGCGCGTCACAGTGCGCACACGATGGTACATGTGCACTTCAGTGCTTTTCATTATGTTCTCTGTAAGTCTTCTGCTAAAGGTGTCCATAGTTTCATTTCAATATCATTTCGATCACAACCATCATTTTGTGATATGCCTTTTTTGCCCGTCGCAGCCGTCCATCTCCTGTTTCGATTGTCGATGACGCATCTAAAAAGGTACGCAACCGAATTTGTGCGTGCGTATGTTTCAGATATCATATGGTACAGCAACACTGGATTATGTGAATTAGTTATAATAATGATCTCGGATTTTCCTGCCTGGTTTCCAAACTTATTAGCATGATGCATATTCCGACCTCACATACTATTCTCTATGGAGAGAAACCCGTTCGCGACTCACCCAGGAGCGAACGGTCCGTCTCCATTATGCGCGCAACAGGTGCCATACCTACGGCACGCGCAGCCGTATTAGAGTCCATCCCGAAAAATAGGAGTGCAAAGTTTTGAGCATTACTTTTCACGTCACCACACTTTGCACACCCCCCCCACCCCCCCCCCCCTCCCGCCTCACGCCCGTTTTTTTCTATAAGGCAAACTTAGCGTCCCGCGTACCGTAGCAGGCAATGAAAAGAAGCCACTGCTCATAATGAGACGAGACCGTTCGCTCTACCTCTGCTTTCAACACAGTTTCACACCCCCATGAACATCCAGTGACTGAAAATGCTGTGTTTTCATAACGGCAGAAAAATAGTGAAATGAAAAGCACATTGCGAAGTGTATAAAAACCCGCGGTGCCTGTACGCGCACTCGTAAGTAAACGGCATACAGCCGTCCCACTAATTGATGGGTGGGTTATTTTAGCTGTTACTCGTGGGCATGAGTCTGACGCCGGGCTAACTACACTACAGATAGCATGCGAGAGGCGATACCCGCCCTCGATGTGCCATCTCTTCTGGTCCATCCGAGATACGCAGAGCACGCGTGATCGATCAGACACCGCTGGTTAGGCCTCCCGTCCGCTGTGTATTTGCATATTGACCAATTTCTTTTTTTTCGACGCTGTACCCATCTGCAACTGAGCATTATTCAGAGAAACCCACATATATTATCGTGACCGTTCGATACACCACGTTCAGTAGGATGGTATCACTTTGTGAGACGAACATGTACACTCGAGAAGTGAGATGACCGAGTAACAAGCAGACAGACCACAACGTAACCCTCGCGGCTCATCTAGAGCGCGCCGAGGGTAAATAAAAGCACTAAAGTGCAACAACACACTCGCGAAGTAGCGTCGCAGAGAGTCCCTGACCTAACTGTGTAACATAGCAACACGAGATTCGATACACGCCATTCGTTGTGACTTCATGTGCCTTCAGATAAGACATATAAGCAAGCGTGACCCGGTCGGGTAGGCACTGTCTAAATATAAGCGCATGCGACCGTATCCGCACACGCGCGACCTACCGGCTTAGCCGTACAATGTACACGGAAGCGCTCTAGCTTTGCATTTTCAGAGAGACAACTCCCGACATATTAATTCTGACCTTCGCGTGCCCGTTGGATAGATGTAGCTATCGGTTCATGGCGGAACAAGACATTCGAGAGGTTAGAAGATGTATTAGAGTAACAGACACACACACGGACAGACCCCCGTACTGTACACCATCGCTGCGCATATGAAAGGTGCACTGCCAGTTGTTAATAAGAAGAAAATAAAATCATTTCTATCTTTTCAAAAATGAGGCGGAATCTATATTATAGGGATAAGCTATGAAGTCACCAAAAACGAAGAAACAAGGGGTCATTACGCAGCAAAGATGCACAAAGCTACATGAACACACCATCCCTATGTCCTTTGTGTTATCAACACAGTAAAGCTTTATAATATGAGACAAGATATAGCGATGGTGTCATGTAGCTATTGGCATCTTTGCTGTGTAATGCCTCCTTTTCTTCATTTTTTGGGGTGCTTTCAAAGACACCATCCCTATATCCGCGCCCCCTTCATTTGAAGACAAATGATTTTTCCACTTGTACACATAATATATCAGTCCATCAGGAAACCCCCCCATCACTGCTTGACCTAGTAATGTTGACAAATCCCGAACAGCTACAAGAATGTACTACCATTCCACCACTATCAACCTCTGATCATTATGGGATTTCACTGCTTCTAAAATGGAAATTAAAAGCCAAGCCACTGTGCAAAAACAAGAAGGGTTTGGCTTTACCGTCATGGTAACTATGAGACAGCTTGCAGAATATTGCATAAACGGACTGGAATAGTATTTTAAACTGGTGTTAGTGTCAGTAAAGCAGCTGCTAATTTTTCTGAGAGATATCTAGCTATCATGGGAGAGTGCATTCCATGTCGTTATCTACGAAAGAGGCGTAACCTTCCCTGGCTTACAAAAAAACATCATCCAGCTCCTTCGTAAGCGCAACACTCTTTTCAAGAAAGCAAAGAGATCATTGAAAGACGCTCACTTTCAACAGTAAAACTTAGAAACAAGATTGTTGGCCTTATGAGAACCAAAAAGAGAGAGGATTTTGACAAACTGGTAAATGGCTAATCCAAAGATTTCTGGAAGGAACTGCTTAATAAAAATAGAGAAACAATTCCAGCTCTTCACATGAGAATCACACTGTTACCAGATGACCAGAAAGGCATCGCTGCTGAACACTTTTTTGCTAGTTGTTGGAACACTGCGGAGCAGCCACTCACTGAAGAATCATATCACTTCGCTGACCTATTTTTTCTGCTGATTTATGACATGTGAATCTCATAACCACTGTCGACTAAGGCCTATTCGCAATCCTATTATGTGGAAGCCAAAGAAAGTCTTGGACTTATAGTCTTCAAACGGTCCCCTTAAAACACACACCATTCTGCACGTACTTACTCTCTCTCGATCTGCATCTGTCGGGCGAGGAAATATTTACACGAAGCGGTCTGCACCCTTCCAACCCATGAAG